CCCTTACCGGTCACAAAAAAAAAAAAAAAACTGAAAGTGCGGAGTCACCAAACACACCTGCTTGCCTGCAGGAGTCCATGAAATAAACTTCTGGCAAGAAAGACAAGCTAAAACATGCATGTATAAAAAGGAGCTGCTTCTGCCTTAACACGCAGTCAACTCTTGCTAGAGACCGTCACTCTGCTGCACTGATGCAACATATCTACCTTCAAGTAGCCCAGAGTCCTTAACATAAAAAGGACTCCTCTGCAGACCCCCAGCCGAGTAACACCAGGGACTAGAAGTGGTTTCCTTACCGTTGACTGCTTCCTAGCCTTGAATGACTGAGTTTGCTCCTTCTCATTGTCTTTCTTCTTTTATTTTCTCTTGTTTGAAATGACAATTTGTTGATTCCTGTTTGCTGAGATCTCTGTGGGCCTGCCAAGCTACCAAAGTGAAAGGGATAGTACTGGAGAAATAGCTCCTGGTGAATTCCACGTAGGTTATAACTGAATTGAGTTCGTGTGATTCAAGAAAGCTTGACATTGTGGACGGACACAGTTGTGGTCATGTCGAGTTAATCATAACCTCAACTCTGTGCTCATGACACCCATGTGTTTATTACCTTTTGTGAGAGTCACGGACTCCTTTGAAAATACGATAAAAGCTGATCCAGAAAAATGTCCATTCAATCATGAACTATTTAACATAGGGCTTGATGAAGTTCACCAGCGCCAGATGAAGAACCTCTGATTTAGCCTCTTTGTATTTGTATTCATCTGTGTAACATGAGTAATCGCCTGTCCGGCCATCCTCAGAGTTGTTGGGAGGGGCAGATGAAAAACGGAGAGAGACCCAAAAATATTCTGTAATAAGTAATAAGGTATTGTCCAAGTGTATGGTGTATGGAATTATTAATATTTAACTCAAAATGTACTACTAAACCAAAGGAAGAAGATGCCTGAATTTTTTTTCAAGTGCTAGACAGGAATGGGATGTGTGCACTTGGGGGGGACGGTTAGTGTGTGGGTGTGTTTTAATCAGTGATGAAATGAGTCATTAGAAATACATGCAGCTGTTATGCCTTCTGGCTATTACTTCTGTGAGCCTTAGTTTCTTTATAGCTATATTCTCTGTAACCATGTTCACCTGAACCACATTCTAATCAAGACTAAATTTTTCCTCACAATCCCCCTATGTCTCCATGCTGTTATTTTAAGGTCGTGGGGTTGAGGGAAGAATCACTAAGTTTTCCCTTAGAAAATGATTTCTATTGAGCACTAAACTGTTATTAAGAATTCCAACACTAGGTGACTGCAGGACAGGTCTCACATTAGGAGTGCTGAGTGAAGACCTGTACTGCTGTTTCACCACAAGGAGTTTGGTACAGTCCTCTGCCAGCCTCTCATCAGTCTTGTTTAGATTATTTGACAATGATTTTCTAGCTTTTAATTCTTCTAGACAGAGTTGCTTATATTTTACCAACTCTGTTTTATTAGAATCTTCTTGAAAAGTTTTCATTTTGAAGAGTTCAGATTCCAGATCTTTAATTTTGAGTTCCATCTGACTTCTTATCGAAGCATTATTAATCTCTTTTAACTTCCCTGTTTTCTTGAGATGCTCCTTGTGTTTATAAAAACAGATTGACGTCTTTTAATTTTTCTACTGTATCCTGTCTTGCTCTTTCTTCATTCTCCTTGTAGTGGATTGAATTATGTTCCCCCCAATACTCACTGAAACTTGAGTTGTGTCCCCCAAGTTTTATGTATTAGAAACTTGGCCCCTTCTGTGACTCTTAAGAGGGTGGGA